TATTTTAAGGGAAAACTGAAGTCTTACTCTCTAAATCCGAATTAGTAAAAATGTTTACTAATTTAAATTAGTGACTCACTTTTTGCTTTTTGGGGCCGTTCAAGTATTACGTAAGCATATTTTCAAGGGTTTTGGACCCCCCCCCTCTCCCCAAAAAAAGCATATTGTATAATGGAAAAAATAAAAATTTTGTATGGTACGTAAGCAACTGAGGAACCCCCCCTCCCCCTTAAATGCTTACGTAATACTTGAACGACCCCTTTAGAATTAGTTAAATTTTACTAATTGTTAAAAAAAGTTACTAGTAATTAGTAAAATTTTACTAATTGAGAAGCAAAAGTGAGTCACTAATTAAAATTAGTATACACTTTTTATTAATTCAGATTTAGAAAGTAATTTGCAGGCTCTCTGAATCTGAATTATAGTCACTTTTTTGGCTAATTCTCATACTGATTCGTTCATTAAGAAATAGTAACTGTTATGACTAACTTTCAGTCAAAAATGACTAATTGTTAGTAGAAAACTACTAATTTATTTAGTAAGATTACTGTTTCAATTAATAAATTTTAATAAATGAATTAGTAATTTTCTACTATTAATTAGTCATTTTCTACTATCAATTAGTTATTTTCTACTACACTGAGAAAAATATATGCTATTGAATCAACAGCATTTCTGCCGAAGGTATAAAATTTATTGATTCTGAAGCATATGCTATAAAATTTGTAAAATATTTTATAGATTCTATAGCATATGCGCTTTTGAATCAATAATTTTTATCCTTTGGCAGAAATGCTATATTGAATCAATAGCATATTTTTCTCAGTGTATAAGAAATGACTAATTATTGTTAGCAGAAAACTATACTGATTGTTAGTAGAAATTAGTAATTCATTTAGTATAAGATTTTCTTTCATACACTGAGAAAAATGTTTTGTCAGAGCAATCAAAATTTTGTTGGGCCAACAAAAAAAATTATGTTGGTATTTAAGCAACCAAACTATTGTTTGAGTCAACCAAAAAATTTGGTTGAATGTTTTTTGTTGGCATAACAAAAATGTTTGTTTAGCTCAACATTTTAACAAACGATTATTTGCTTTTTAGGACAAACTATTTTGTTGTGTTCACAGAAAATTAAAAGGCATTAAAATAAGCTGCAACGCTTATTATTTTAATCCAAATTTGATTATTTTAATCCATTTTGGTATTAAAATAAGCAAAATTGGATTAAAATAATGAGCGTTGCAGCTTATTTTAATACCTTACAATTTTCTGTGTTAACCAAATTATTTTGCTATCGTAACCAAATTTTGGTTGAAATTTAAAAATGTTCAACCAAATAATTTTGTTGGACTAACCAAATGTTTGATTATGAGATAATTTTTGTTTCAGAAAACCAAAATTTCGTTACAAGAACCAAAATTTCATTACAAGAACTAAAATTGCCTAACCAAATGATTTTGTTGCAAACACAAAATCTTTTTTTTTCAGTGTAACTATCCCTATATACCAAAAATTGATAAAGTTCACTACTGTCGTGGTACTGGTACCACTATTCCGCCAGTAGTTAATTTTTGATAAGAAATAAAAAGAAACATTATATATATTTAAAAAATAGTTAAAAATAACATATATACCTCTATATTAGAAAATTGTGAATACAAATTTGTTTAACGATTAAAAATGCAACCCCCACGCATGGGAGTCAATTCACCTCGATACCCATGGAACAGTACATAATAGTCAGTTACGCAGAATCAAAAGTAATTTCTCGGATTGTGTCATGGAGCGTGTGTACCAGCGCGTTGTACTTGATAGGTTGTAGGGTAAGGGTATATGATACAGAGAGGTAAAGTATATATAGATATATATATAAACGGGGTCGAAACCATAATACATACAATGGCTTTATTCTATTCTCATTGCGGGTAAATAACATCTGTACATTAGATCACTATAAAATCGGTCGCCATTGCCAGTTACAATAGCTCGACCCCCATTCAAATCTCGTAGAATACGATTCAAAGAAACCTCGTCGCGTGACGGTGATGCCGATGATGGTCGCGATTCTTATATATATATATATCGTACATACTATATAATATATATCGTATATACTATATTTATATATTTATATATAGATGTAGTAGTACTACTCGTCGAGTGGAAATGAGGACTCCCTGATATATGTGTATTCGTGCCCGCAGAAGGATGAAATATGAAAAACGAGAGACAAGAGACCAAAAAAAAAACTCTTGTCAAAGAGAAAAATAATTTAATATAAGAGGAACGAGAAGTCTACATATATATATATATATATATATATTGAATGGAGATGAAAACAGTAGGCGAAAAGGATGCAGACAATAAAAAGGAGATGAAATAACAGTAAGAGAATGGGGTGAAAAAAATATATATATATAGAGAGAGAGAGGAGAATTGAAGCGAAAATAGAATAAGAGAGAATTGGATAAAAAAATTAAAAATAAAATTACTGTAGAGGGATAAAAAATATTAGAAGTGTTGGATTAAATTGACAAAAAGGAAAATAAAGACAAAATATATTTATTTTGAGATCAGAGAGTAAATCTTATTTTAAGTTGCATTATTCTCACCCTTATTAATTTAATTAATTTTCTAATTATAGTTTATTTTATACATGTAGATCTTTTGTTGTACTGAATTTAAAATAATTATTAATCTTAAAAGCTTATTGTGCTGAATTTAAGGCAATAACTGATATTAAAACCTTATTGTACTGAATTTAAGAAAATAATTGATTTTAAGGCCTTACTGAACTGAATTTAAGATAATAATTGATCTTAAAACTTTATTGTACTGCATTTAAGGAAATAACTGATATTAAAACCGTATTGTACTGAATTTAATTAATAATTGATTTTAAAGCCTTGTTATACTGAATTTAAGATAATAATTGATCTTAAAAACTTTTGGTACTGAATTTAAGGCAATAACTGATATTAAAACCTTATTGTACTGAATTTAAGAACACAGAAAATTAAAAGGCATTAAAATAAGCTGCAACGCTTATTATTTTAATCCAATTTTGCTTATTTTAATACCAAAATGAATTAAAATAAGCAAAATTGGATTAAAATAATAAGCGTTGCAGCTTATTTTAATGCCTTTTAATTTTCTGTGAAAATAATTGATTTTAAAGCCTTACTAAATTTAAGATAATAATAATTGATTTTAAAACCTTTAAAGCCTTTAAGATAATAATTTATCTTAAAACTTTATTGTACTGAATTTAAGATAATAAGCCTTATTATACTGCATTTCAGGCAAAAACTGATATTAAAACCTTATGATTTTAAAACCTTAGCACACTGAATTTAAGATAAAATAATTGATCTTAAAAACCTTATGAGTTTAAGGCAATAACTGATATTAAAACCTTATTCTTTTGAATTTAAGACAATAATAGATCTTAAAACCTTATTGTAAAAAGAATATTTTAAAATAAATCTTAATTTCAAAACTGTTAATCATCATGTCTATAAAAACAATTGAAATTGAACATACCGCTGCCTCACTGAAAAAAATGTGTTTGGTCAGTACAACCAAACTCAACTGAATTGTTTGGTTAGTCTAACCAAAGTTTGGTTATGTACTAACCGAAAATTTGATTGCTCCGACCATACAATTTTTTCAGTGCTTAAAAATAAATTGCATCTTAAAATAAGACTAAAATTTTATATTTCTGTCCTACAAATTTTAATTTACCAAAACGGATTTAAAATAAGACCCCACGCTTTAATCCAAGGAAGATTAAACTATAAAAACATCCAAAGATGAAAATTGCAAATTTTTAAAAATTGGATTTAGAAAACTATTTTTAGTACCAAATTGAAAAGCCAAAAAAATGAATTATATATTTTATTCTTGTACGATATTAATTTAATCTGCAATGCTTTTTATAATATATATACTCGACGCAGTTTACTGTGATAAAAAATTAATTAAACTCCTAAAATAGAAACAGAGAAGACGTATAAAAAATGAAGGTATCACTAGAAATTAAAATTCTCTATAAAAGAAAGGAATGAGAAAAAAGTGTAATAGAAGCTGGATCAGAACGCGCAGTAAAAGAAAAAGAGCGAGAGAGAAAGATTCAAATACTGAATCATACAAAACAAAGATAGAAACAATAAAAAAAAGAACAAAATTGACATATAGGATAACAGAGACAGAAATACTAAAAAAGCAGAGCTAGAAAGAGTTCAAGGGAGGAAAAAGCAAGAGACACAGTAAGAGAAAGAAAGGAGAAGGAAAAAGAGGAAAGGATAAAGAAAAAGAGACAAAAACAGTAAAAGAGAGCGAGATGCATGAAAATTGTAAGACAGACACAGAGAAGCAGAAAGGAAGATAAATCTAAAGATAAGGGAGGAGAGAGAGAAAGAGAGAGAGAGAGAGAGAGAGAGAGAGATAAGGGAAGTGTGCCAGAGAATAAGGGGAATGAGAGAAAGACATATAGGAAACTTCTGGGTTAAAACAGTTGGTCGAAACAATAGGCGGAGCATGCGGAGAGAGAAACGTCTGAGCATCGGCGGCGCTGGCATTGTGCGTTTAATATTAAACTGGTTTTAAATAAAGGATAATGTGTTAGTTCCTACTCTTTGCATCTCTATGTGTATACATATCGTATACTTATATATACATATCTCTCTCTCTCAATATATATATAGGTATATAAAAGCGGGTAGGTGGGTATATCCCCTTTCACTTTGGCTCTACCCGACAGCAGATATAAACTCTTAACATCTCTGTGGGACGCTGATATGGACCAATCGGAATACGAGACAGGCGTGGTCGTCACTAACGGAGAATTCTGTTTGGCTAAAACCCTGGGGTGGAACACTGTGGCACTGTGTTTTATTTCGCGAGTCGATGGAGGGGCTGTTAGTTTCTGCCCTATCCTTCCTTACCCTCCTCTATTTAGAAAGTTTCACTCACTGTTCACCACTTCCCACCCTCTTTACTCCATCTCTCTCTCTCTCTCTTTCTCTCTCTTCATCCCTCTCTTTTTACACACCCCACCCCCCTGATTTGAAAACTATACCACCACCAACGCGAGGAGCGTCGCGGCGACCAGCCACCACGCTTTACCTGAATCGAGTCTCCCGGGATGCTGCAATTGTTGACAACTCCAAACGATAGAAGAGTAGGGGGAGGAGGAGGAGGACTACGACACGATTCGTGGGGTGCTCCCAAATCGGCATTTCGACCTCAACACCCCGAACGAGCAGTTCGCGTGTTACCATGCGCGGCACCCCCTTCAACAAAATTTCACGTCGAATGGTTACGGATGTTGTAACAACGGGGGTGTAGCGCAAACGCGACGGTAGCGAACAATTTTTGCTCAAAAAATAAAGTGTTTCTTTTTTCTGATATAGAGAGTGTTTATCATATGCAGTGATGGAAATTATTTCATTATTATTAGTGATAATATTGCAATAAAATTTTGGAATAAAAGTGGTGCGTGCAATTATTTTTATGTGATTTTTGGGATTGTGACTAAAGAGAGAGAAAAAAAAAAAAGAGTTTGGAAAAAAATTAGGATGTCATTACCAAGGGGTGTTGGTTTAGGTGTGGATGTGGGACAGTTAATGCAACATCAACAGCAGCAACAGCAACATCATGTGTTGCCGGCTGCATTTTTTTTGCGAGCCAGTGCTGAACGTTATCAAAGGACACCAAAGTGTGCTAGGTGTAGAAATCATGGTGTTGTGTCAGCATTAAAGGGACATAAACGATATTGTCGTTGGCGTGATTGTGTTTGTGCAAAATGCACTCTTATTGCAGAAAGACAGAGGGTCATGGCTGCACAGGTGAGAGCAGTTGTGATGATAATACGAATACAAATTCTTTAAAACAGCGATAATTTACACTTGCTAAATTTTTGTATTCTGCCAAAAAAATTAACAGAAGTTTTAAGTTATGGATGAAACGAGATATCCATTTTCTATGGTTATCAAATTCGTTTTTCTATATTTAACATAGAAATTTTATGGTTGACATCCATATTTCGTTAGCCAGAATGATACATCCATTTTCTATGGTTATCAAATCTGTTTTTCATAATTGACATAGCCAATCTATGGTTGATATCCATTTTTATGGTTGGCACATCCGATTTTGGAATTTGGATATCAAAATTCACAACAACGGATATGACAACTGGATGTCAACCATAGAACTGCTATGACAACTAAAGAAATGATAACCATAAAAAATTACCTACATTTATCAATATCTATACACAGAAAATTAAAAGGCATTAAAATAAGAAGCGTTGCAGCTTATTTTAATGCCTTTTAATTTTCTGTGTACTTATATGGTTGACAAATTTGTATTTTGGAATTACGCAAATTACAACCATTCAAACCATATTCATCTTCTATGATTTTCACATCCATTTTTATGATTGGCACATCCATATTTCGGAATTTGGATATAAAAATTCAAAGATGCGTGAATGTCAACCGTCAAATGACTATGTCAATTAAAGAAATAGATCTGACAACCATAAAAAAATATCCTATTTTTATCAATATATATACTATTTATGGTTGACACAATTTTTAATTTTGGAATTATTATGCCAATTCCCCTACTATGAAAGTATCAACCATAGAAATATCCATCTTCTATGGTTTTTACATCCGTTTTTCCAGCTGGCAGACGCATTTTAGATTTAACCTCCATTTCTATATGGTTGACAGAATCATATTTTGGAATTCCTATATATAATTTCCTAATGTGGATGTGCCAACCATAGAAGTTGTTGTGTCAACCATAAAATAGTTGAGTAAACCATAGAATATAATAAACCCTAGAATAAAATATACCACAAATTATAGGATATACCGTAGAATATGTTAACAAAAAAAAAAATGAAAATCCAGTATTTATCCATACACAACTGACAATGAGAGAAACGATTGGTTACGATTACCATTTCGTTAGTAAGAGTATTTTTGCTAATGCATATTAGTTACCATTTAGTTAGTCAGCCTAACCATTTAGTTAGTAACACAGAAAAAAGCTGGTGTTATTTTTGTTGCGGGTAATTTTCTCCAATGCTAAAACCCATAAGATTTAACCCACATTTAGGGTAAAATTTGTTGCGTGTTATTTTAACACTAATTCTGGTGTTAAAATAACACTTTGTTTTTCCTGTAAAGGTAACTAATTGAATAGTTATTTCAATAAACTAATTAGTTTAACCAACTAAGAAAAATATTTATGCCAACCAAAAAAAATAGTAACCACAACTAATAAATTAGTAGCAGTATAGTTTTCTAACTAAAAATGGTCACCTCAAAAATGGTAACCCCAACCTTTTTTCTCAGGGTATATTAATGGTTAATCATACTTTGCGTCGCATAAGAAAAGCTTAAACCCCCTTTTTTTCAAAACGCCGATCCGTAATTTTTGATTTTGAAAAAGACATCAAGTACTTTCTGTTCTGCTTTTTTAAATGTATAAAATAACAAATCATTTTTGAAATACCTTTGCTAATACATATAATTTGTTTTAAAATGAAACTCTGTTTTTGTATATACTATTTAGTCGTATGAACGTGTACTAATTTCTGATCCAGATACTACTGAAAATTAGTAAGGACCATATTAATTTTTAATATTATTTGATTAGAAACTAGTACGTTCATTCGACTAAAAGTACAAAACAAGAATTTTCCTCATTTTGAAACAAATTATATTAATTTTTGAATATAAAAAGTCTTCTCTTATATTTGAAAGAAAAAAATTACTCTCAAAGCCCTTTTTTGTCAAGCGGAAAATGAGTCCCTCCACTTCAAGTTTTCAAATATAAATACTATATATATACATATATTCAAATAAATATATACATTGCTCCTGTTGAAGGCTATACAAATTTTTTTTTTCGGTGTAATATATTTAAAGTAATAAGTGTTTCGCACGTGGGGTTGAAAGGCAAGTTACACCCCTTTCTAGCGGCATATCTTTATATATATATAGTAAGAATTATACTTTTGTAATCTAGGTTCGTGCTACTACTCTATATATATAAGGTTAGCAGTATATTAAAGGGTCGTGGATAATGTTTCGAAGAATATTACACTCGGATCGTGTAACGTTACAGGATTTATTCCACACCCCAAATTTTATATATATATATACAAACGCCCTAGTTGTTCAGCCACTTCAGGTTCAAAACCCTGAATTTAGCAGGATACTGTGACAATTGGCATTTCAACTTAAGAATATTTTTTTTTTGCCAGCTAATATTTAAAAAAAAAACCGGTATTGTCAAACGTGACAATTCTTTTTGTAAACAGTTTTTTTTTTGTTGCGAATTTTCATATGGGAAAAGGGATTTAGAAATTGGATAGCATTATAAAAGTGAATAAAAATAGATTTGAAAATTTAAGAAGATTAAATTTTGAATGGACAACAAATACATTTTTTTTTTACTAAATTCTTACTCTCTAAATTTGAATCAGCGGAATCTCGCTGATTCTCAGCTATAAGTATACCACTGATTTCAATCAGCTTATATGCACTGATGAATTAGTGGAATTTCACTGATTTTTCAGCGTATATCCGCTGATTGGTATCAGTGGTATACTTATCACTGATTCAAATTTAGAGAGTAAGTTTTTTTTTAACTGAATTGTTAATCACATCAAATTACACATCCATATATATGCAATTAATTTGTAATGGGCCCTCTATTATTGGGAACAATTAGAATTATTAGCTATTCAAAAAAACATTAATAATTTTAATTCACCACTTGTTGAATATAATTTCAATGGATGGAAAAAATATAGTTGAATTTTTAAAAAATAGAATATCAATCGAATGATAAATTAAAATTTATTTAACAAATTACAAATGGAAAATGGGGTGTAAATTTAAAAAAAAAATTTTTTTTGCCGATTTTCCAGGTTGCACTGAGAAGACAACAGGCACAGGAGGAAAGTGAAGCACGAGAACTTGGATTGCAATTGCAATATAATAATGGGAGTTGTACAACAGCTCCGGTTATGCCAACAACAACGGGTGTTGGTACTCCTGCCGGAAGTCCTCCACCACCACATCCTGGACATGTTGCAAGTCCAGTGGGTCTTGCAATTCCGTCCGCAGCTGCAGCGGCTGCAGCAGCTCAAATTCAAACGCAATTGCAACATCAGCAAAATGATTGTGGAATACTTCAACGAATGAGAATACCACAACAAGATGATTATCGACCATCAGTGAAGACGGAAAAAAATGACACAATTGCTCATAACAATTCTATTGTCAACGTTCCAGGTAATTGACTACGAATATTATAATTATATTTTGATTAATTTTTATTTCGAATTTTTAGAATTAATACAAAAAATTTCTATATTTTCCCTAATTTCGAGAGGTGATTTTTGTCCCTTACACTGACAATACACGAAAAAAAGTACAACTTTTTTCTCAATTAAAACTTCCAGTATAAAAATTCCTGACTTTTTCCTGATAATTTTCATTCTCCTTGAGTTTTTCCTGAATTTACTAATTCCTCTGACCTGTGGCAATCCTAATTTTGGATAATTGTTTGACACTTAATTTTTTAATCGAATTTTTCCCCAAGTTCAGAGAGGTTTCCTAAAATCAGTAGTACAAGTCAACGAGATAAACTTAAGAGGCACTTCTTCTGCTTTCAGTAGTACAGATCCGTGTATAGTCAGACCAAGAATTCCCAATGTAATACCACTTGCGTGTCAATAAAAGGGAACTCATAATTATCCCATAAAAATCATTAGAGTTTTAATTTTAAAAAATTGTATTCTATATTTTTTAAGATGAATTTTCATTTTTCGAATTAAAATTTTACAAAAAATTTTTTTAAATACTTTTTTCTTAACAGAACATATAATAATTTTTACACATAATTCTTATATGTATCGAATTTTTATTGTACAGAATTCTTAAAAAAAAAGTCCGAATTTGTATTTGTCCGAAATTTTAAATGATCGAACAAACAAATTTTGGCGCGATTTTCAAAAACTGACCAATCAGAGACTGTCCAACAACAAAGAAAATTAAAAGGCATTAAAATAAGCTGCAACGCTTATTATTTTAATCCAATTTTGCTTATTTTAATCCATTTTGGTATTAAAATAAGCAAAATTGGATTAAAATAATAAGCATTGCAGCTTATTTTAATGCCTTTTAATTTTCTGTGAAAAATCATGATTGGTGAATTTTTAAAATCGCGCCGAAATCATTCTGTCGATTATGTTCGGTCATTTGCAATTTCGGACAAATACAAAACGAAGCTGAAGTACGCAACGTTTATATAAACGATTTTTAAAGAAATAATTTTTTAAAATGAAAAATTCTATAATTTTTTGCCTAAAACATATTTCTTGTAGTTTTCATTAATCAACAAATTATAAAAAAATATTTTTTAGGCAAAAAATTATAGAATTTTTCATTTTAAAAAATTATTTCTTTAAAAATCGTTTATATAAACGTTGCGTACTTCAGTTTCGTAAATACAAATTCGGCCTTTTTAAGAATTCTGTAGAATAAAACTTTGTTTAAAAACAAATTCCGTCAAAATGTTGATTCGAAAAATGAAAATTCTTCTAAAAAATAAATATCTAATAAAATTCTTTAAAATAAAAATTAACAATTTTTGTAGGAAAATCATAAGCTTCTCAATAACGTAACAAATATTTAGAACCACAAAAAAATGGTAAAATTCTAATAATCCGTAGTGCAAAAATATGTTTCAATAACAACAAATATTTCTTATTTACGGAACCAAAAAATGACAAATATCAAAATATCTTGCAAAAATCGGTTTACACGGGAAAAAAAGATTTACCTAGAACAGCGAAAAATTTCGCTATAATAGCAAAAGTTTTAGGTGTTTCAGTTAAATTTTTCAATATTCTAGCGAAAATGTTCTAGATGAAACTTTTTTTTCGCGTTGAATACAAAAATCAAAGTTCACAGGTGTTTGCCAATATAAAATAAATGTAAGTACACTTTGGCGCGTGTTTCTCAAGATTTTTTGAACTCTTTTATTATAAATATATATATTGAAGAAAAGAAATTATATATAGTACACGTCAAAAAACGAAAAAGGGGTAGTATTTAGCGAGGGATATATATATGAATTAAGCTGCCACTAACGAACGACTTATATTTCGAGTGGTATAATAAGGGGCTCGCGTTTGACTATTATTTACTTAACCTCATAACCATAAACCACGTGTGAGTATATGTATATAATATACATGTGCCATAGCACTTTCTAATGGGCTCTCGTACGTGTGCCATATATACACGATTTTCAAGTACTTTGGCAGTTGCTCCTTCTTTTTTTTTCTTTTTACATAACGCACATGCATTGGCTTTATATATATATATACTTTTATAATGTACGTACACTCATGGTCACGTGTTCATTGTTTCGCAATCGTTCAAAAAGTTACAAATTTCTTTAAAAATTTTCCACAAACAATTTTTTAAATTCTTCAAAATTTTTGTAATATTTTCTTAAATGATTGAACTTAATATTTTTCTACTTACACGATTGAAGTTTAAATTTTTCTACTTGCATGCGATTTTTTTTTTACTTACATGAGATGATTTTTTAATTGCTTCCTCATTGGTCGCTTCTAAGGATGATTCTTTCCTACAGAGCAAATACTGGATCCGCCACTGAAATCAAAATGATTAAAAATAAATTCAAAAAAAAGTATAATTAAAAAACAAACACGTAAAAAAATGTTCCACCTGCAACAGCGATACACAGAAAATTAAAAGGCATTAAAATAAGCTGCAACGCTTATTATTTTAATCCAATTTTGCTTATTTTAATACCAAAATAGATTAAAATAAGCAAAATTGGATTAAAATAATAAGCGTTGCAGCTTATTTTAATGCTTTTTAATTTTATGTGTAAGTTTCACTGGAACAGTAAAAGTTTTCGCTATTCTAGAGAAATATATCGTTGTTTCAAATAAAGATTTTTTTTTATCTAAAATTCACATTATTGTATATACGGTAAAAAATATTTATCTGGAACTAGAATAAAAATAGTTTTAATTGTTTCAGTTAAATCTTTCACTATTCTAATAAAATCTTTCGCTATTTCAGATAAATTTTTTTTCGTTTTAAAATAAATCCAAATGGCATTTTGCAATTTTTTATTCGAAAAAAATACATTTGGAGTATTTATACCTGAAACGAAATTTAAAAAAATCGTACATATTCAAAAAAGGATTATATTTCCTATTATTTAAATTACATTATGCTTTGCTTATACTTTATATATATATATATATATAGGTAATGAATAAAAGTTTAGAGATCCAAGTTTTGACGTTAGGATTGAAAAGTAGTATTGAAGAAGCAGTTAAGAATTGCAAACTTTCGTACCAAGTCGTTTTCAAAATACAATGGAACTTGCGTCTCGTAAGTTCCACGCGGGACAAGTAATAATGAAAAAAAGACAAAAAAGGAGAAGAAAAAAAAAAATATATATATATATCTCAGCTCTCGCGAAAATTTACTCACTAAAGCCTCCATTCACAGGAACTAACAATAAAGGCAGGAAGAATGAAAGGGGTATAAAGAGCGCGAACTCGAGGTTAAAAGCAAATAATGGAAAACCTGCCAGACCCATAGTGAGAGAGAAAGAGAAAGAGAGAGAGAGTCAATTGTAATCGTAGTATTTGGAACAATTTAATAATTTCATCCAAATTTTGAAAATGGCTACAATTTTCTTCGATTTCTTCCGAAAAATGTTAGAAAAATACTTAAAATAATTTATATAACAGATGTTGTACTCAAAATTCGTCATATTTCATAAATATGTAAACTCGTTATTAATATATTTTCCAATTCGGTATTCTATATATATATACAAAAACGCAAATACACCCACAGTCTCGATCTTCAAGACACAGTACCTGGCGGAGAATATATATATAGTTGAACCAAGACTTCTGTCGAGAAGTTTAGCAGTAATTGAATTTCTCGGGCCAGTGCCTTCAACCGCGGGGGATGCTATGGTCGGTAGCAGTTGGTTTTTGAAGAGAAGGGGTGAAGAGGGTGCGGTCTTGTGTTGGGTATCTATATACAAGAGAAACTTGCGGACGATCCCCTATTATAGAATCCTGTGCTTCTCAAAACCACCATACATTTCACAAATGCTAAATTTTTTCATCACTGTAAAAATCAACTATTAAAATAGTATACAGATTTTGGGTATCAAAATAGAACCAAATGACAATTTAGTATACCTAAAGAAATTAATACCTTTCGTTTCACACACTCTAAATCTGAATCAGTAAAATTTTCACTGATTCAGATTTAGAGTACAGTGTTCACATTTAATTGTTTCCCCATTTTGACAAAACAGAACTATAGAATTAGAATTGTGATAATTCTGATATTAAACACGAGAATTCTGATGCGTTTAAAAAAGATGAATATATACATTATTTGCAAAGAGTCAGATGCGAAGGTAAAATGTTTGCATAGGTGTACAGCGTTTGTAATGAATTAAGGCAGCACACGTCTCTTGAGTATGTTTATACAAAAACTTTTGCCATACGAATGACCTTCTCTACATATACATTCGCCGCTGATGATCACTTAAGACTAATTTTTTTCAACCACACTGCAAACTGAACTTTTTTTTTTCAATAATTTATAAAAGCAGTAACTATATTGCACATATTAGGAATATGCTTTTGCAAATGGAAAAGTAAATATCAGTAGAAACAAAAAAATAAAATACTTATTTACAATTTTTAAAAAATTTTAGTAAGAAATAGTTTCCGCACTAAAAGTATTTCACAAACAGTGAAATTAGTAATGGTAAAAACCAGAGCTATATATATATATAAGAAATGTGAGGGTGATGATAAAAAAAAATAATAGAGTCACGATCTTTACCACTCGTTTCTAAACGTCCCGTTTACGAGGCATAAACGCCGAAACAAAAGCCGCTTGGGCGAGAAACAATTAAAAACGTTTCGCTCGATCGCTTCAAATCACCATTCCACCCTTAACCCTTCCTCTTTTCTCTCACTAGTTTTTTTCCCCTTCTCTTTTGGTATACAGCAACAACAAAAAACCCTCGCGGGAGTTCCAAACAAAAGGGAATCGCGACGATTTAATGACTGATCGCGTTGTCGCACGATTTGACGATATGTACATACCTCGTGTGCAATATATATACCTGCTATTTCAGGTTACTGATTGCTGTTACTGGTGCGGAAGCTGAGAAGGCAAATTTTTTTTCCATCTTTTGTAGA